TAGAGCTGATGAAGTTTTCCATAATGTTGATATATTCTATCCCAAAAGTAGTCAACCACACGGTAAAAATATTATTGAGAAAGCGAATGTGGGATATTTTTTATTTTCATTTATTGTCTAAAAGAAATGCACTACGAAATAGCTTTGTTCTCGGGCCACTTGCCACGTGCGGGAATCGAACTCAAAACCTCAATGTCGAGAAGCTATTGCTACTATAGATGAACTTCTAATACCTCTTTGCCACTGAGATAGCCAATTTCAGTATAATAATAATAATAATAATAATAATAATAATAATATAATAATAATAATAATAATAATAATAATAATAATAATAATAATAATAATAATAATAATAATGATAATAATAATAATAACGATGATGATGATAATGATGATAATAATAATAATAGTAATAATAATGATGATGATGATGATGATGATGATGATGATGATGATGATGATGATGATGATGATGATGATGATGATGATGATGATGATGATGATAATAACAATAATAATGCACTTCACGTAATATAACTGTTATGTAAAAATACTTAAAATGATAGTAGTAAATATAAACAATAATCATTCCTACTGCTTCAATTCAATTCTACTAGTACTCATAAATACATATAGATAGCAAACTTAAGTATTTGGTATATAAACGTCATTGAATCTTCATTATTTCTATAAGTATATTATTTCATAGCATTTATTTTATAAATCTAAATTCGAAATGTTACTTGCAATAGACAATAAAGAGTGTTTTAGGAATAATCTTTACCACAAAAGAGATAATTTCATCTTTCCTATTGTGAACTTTCCATTTCCATATATCTACATTCCAGCACCGTATGTACATGGACAGAGGCACAGACGAAATAATTACGGTTGAATACTTGGGTAGGCCTGCTACGAATGATTCCGACAACAAAGGTAGGCGTGTTATACACCATTGTGTAGATGAATTAATTTAGATTTACGGCATAACAAATTTAATGGGGTTGACAACCGAGAAATAGAAATATAACGGATTTTGCGACCGGGTGACATTTATCAAAACTAAGAGTTAAGTACCTTGTGTAATATTAAGGTATGTAGGGAATTTTTTTTTCTGAGACAAGGGCCTGTGTAATTGGAGACATTTCAGAACTTGCGTTGCGTTGGAGTTCGATATTCCTGTTATAATTTTTATTTCATGACTATATTTATCCAAATCAGAAAACATCGCATCAAAAAACGTTAAAAAATAAGAGGATATTGTGATAAATCCCGCCGATAAAGGGGGCGATGCGGTTTTTATGAACAAAAAGATTACATCGAAGACGGAAAATCGTCAATGGAAGATTCTATATGTTGCCCAAAATATACCAAATTGGCATTCCAGGTCGACTATTTTTTTTTAGCAAATGGTCACCTAACAGAAAAGATATCTGAATTTGTAGACCATCACTTAAGACCTAATTTTAAAGAACTACCCTCTAATATTCAATATACGACTGATTGCTTTGTATTAAAAGAAAACGGAAAACCTAAATACTTTACCAAACAATACTATAACCGCATCCATGGACGTGTTTTCTTTGTATACAATTATTAAAGAAGACGAAGTTATAGCAGCGAGTAAAGAGGTATGGAACAATCGCAGTTACAAAAATCCTCCAACTCAGAAAACAACAACTTCTCTTTCAATGACAAACACTATCTACAGATAGACGGCACCAGTATGGGCACAGAAATTGACCCGTCATATGCCAACATATTAATGACTTAACTTGAAAAACGCATATTGGCTAGAACTCCATTTCAGCCATTACCATGTTCGATTTATTGATTTCAAATGGACAGAAGACCACCATTCAATTAAACTTACAAACGAAACTTCAATGGAAAAAGATAACTTTCTCGATACCAAAAGTTACATCTAAAACGGAATCATGATAACGGACCTACATTAAAATAAATCAGAGACACATCAATTTCTCTCTCCAAAAGTTACCATCCCGAAAACTGCTCCCGTGTAATCCTTTTAATTCAGGCATTGCGAATCAAAAGAATACGCTCAACTGAAAATAAGCAAAATGCTAGACTGACTTGGACATAAACGTAAACATCTAGTTGTTTGAACATACAATAACAACAGTATGAACTACTCTCGAAAAAGCAAACATGATTGACTGCAAACAACTTCTGGAGTACAGGGATAAGAATCAAGGAGCCAACAGAATTTTTTGTAATCACTTACCATCCTGATTTCAAAAAGGCGTCATCCATTGGAAAATTATAAAGAATCACAATTTTGAAGAAAAAAAAATCCTTACCACCAGTCATTGCTCTCAGAAAACAAAAGAAAACAGCTGTATTAACAAAGCAACCTACTCCAACTCCTGCTTGCTATAAAAAATGTGGGCGAAGGAAGTGTTTATGTTGTAAAGCTGTATTTACTAGCAGTTCTTTCATCAGCACCTTTACAAAACAGAGTTATACCCTCTACGTAATTTTGAACTGTAAAACGGAGAACTCAATTTTTGTATTAGCATGCAACATCTGTAGCATTCAGTACGTTGATGAAACAATAGACGAATTTAACATTCGGCTTAATAACCATCGATCATGGTACAAAACAAAACAAAAAATTTTTGGATCACTCAGCTCCATACTTTAGAACATGAGGGTATAAATGAAAAAGCGAAAAAGGTACAAGAAAAATTAAGAATAAATTATTATATTGCATCGTCCTTAAAATATCTGTAATATTGGTCAATGGACATTGAAAACTTACCTTAGTTCAACAACAGATTTCGAATATGAAAATTTATTACGCAACAAAATTATATGTACAATGAGCTGCAAAAGTTTCTTATCTGCATCCGATTTTACCTGGATAGATGCATGTCCGATTAAGCTAGTTTGTCAAAATTACATTGTTAAGCAATGCACTGTTAGGCAGATCTCAATCGACTGTCTATTTTTATCATAGACCACAACAATGCTTGGTCTAGGAGGGATAGACTCATTCGGGAATGATTTTGGATAAGAAAATCAAAAACGTTGGCACCAAATGAGATCAACGAAAAAGTGAAGTTATAATTCGCGCAGTGCTTTTCATTTGGGTTGTATTTCTACACAGTCTATTTTGCTATTCCGTTACCATTGTCTACTCTGAAATTCTAAAACTATACCAGTTTAAATCGCAGGGTGGTATTCATTTGCGATAGATAAATACGCAGACACGATGTAATTACTTAACCTTTTTCTAAATCAAAATTTAAAAATTATATCAGCTCAAATCAAACTGCTATTCATTTGTGATGTATAAAGACTCAGCCTCTGTTGTAATTACTTTACCTTCGTGAAATTTGAAATTTTAATAATATAACAGCTCAAAGCGAAATGATATTCACTAAGAATGCATTTCTATGGAGTCTCTGTTGTAATTTAACTTTCGTCACCTGTGAAATTTTTGATTGTACCAGTTCGTTACGCACATTACTATTCTTTTTAAAAGCATATCTATGCAGTTTCTGTTGTAAATACGTAACCTACGTCATTTTTTAAATTAAAAAATTATGCATGCGTTGTTCGGTTTTTAATTGTTAAACTGCAAAGATTGTTATGGCTAAATTAGAATAGATTGATATAATTGATTTTACATCGTCATTATCATACTGATGAAGGATATCTGTTATCAGAAATATTCAAGACACTTACATTTAATGTTTCCTTTTTCTAATATTGTTGTTGTTTTGTACACTTTTTAGGCATGTATGATAGTCACTCGTTCAGGGTTTTCTAAAACAAGTGAATTTGAATGCATCACGATATCATATTGGTAAGTGTAATATCCTATAAATAATGTACTGTTCGCTTGACTTAACGAACTAATTTTATGTTCATGCGAACAAAAAAGGACCAAGTGAAACCCCATAAATATGTTTTTTCATTCTTAGCTCCTGGTGTATTTATACACATTATTTCAAAACTTAAAAATTCTGCTAGTCTTGATAAAGGTTAACTATGGTAAGTGATCGGATGCAGTAAATGCAAAATAAATTTCATTGGCTTTAATTGTTTCACACTCAAAAATGTTGCTTTTCAAGCAAAAATTTTAGATTTAGAAATGTGACTGCATATTTATAACCTTTAAACATCCTTCAGATGAATTTTTTATGCTTCACCTCACTTGATTCTTTTATCAATGTCATTATGAAGTCCACTAATAACAGACACATTTTGTTTATTTTTTATGGACGTATACATGACATTTTTCATAATTTATTCTAAACTTTATCTTCAATTTACATTTTAATCAAGAAAAGCAAATTTGGTATTTCCTACTCTTGATTTAAATTACCTTTTTTGGTAGGGTTCGTGTTGCTCAGTCTTTTGTTTTCTATGCTGTGTTTTGTGTACATTTGTGTACTGTACCGTTGTTTGTTTGTTGACTTGTGAGTTTGAATGTCCCTCTGGTATCCTTCGCCTCTCTTTAATCCAGTCGCGATAACTAAAGAATTGGAAATTTTACTACTGAGTGATGATAAATATTGTAACCGACGGTGTGAACTGGTAGTAAACGTATATTTACTAATTTAAATAAATGATTTAAAGTACTGAACGCAGTACTCCGAATATATGAGGCGGACATCCAAATTTATTAAACAACCAGAACCGGTTGAAATGCGTATAAATAAAAGATTCACAACATGTTTGATGACTTTTTGGTACTTTTTTGTTTAATAAAAAGTTTGTAATCTGTATTTATAAAAAAGGATGAAATAAAGTTGTCTGACCATTTTTGCTGAAATAATTATATTATTTTACCCAAATCATGCTCGTATGTAAAATTTCAACAAACATATTGTTTCATAAATCTATGTGGTTTTACTAATTGTGCATTCTCGTGTGCATTTACCAAAACCAAATTGATTGATACATGTAACAATGTGTCACTTTATTTACATATTAAATGTTGATTTTATAACAATTATGTACCTAGTTCAACAATCTGTTACTTTCAAAAGTCTTTTGTTTATGGTCTTCCGTAGACCTGGTAGTAGGATGCATATCGACAGACTATTGGTAGGTTTTGTTTTGTTTTTTAAATATTTTAATCGGCTGCGTGTTAATCGATTACATGCAACTGATTTCATATCAAACAATATGGTTTTGAAAAAGTTAAACTATAATTTTTCAGCAATTGGTTTTTACTTTTATAATCTATAATCAACCATTATTCGTTAATTTCCCTTATTTTCCTGTCACTTTTTATATGATTTTAACTTGAAGCATGTGTATCATTTACTTCATCCCAAAATTCATTTTAGATGATTTCACACTTTAAAAGACAAAAGTATGAGACTAAAATTACAAAACAAACAAAATTGTAAAAGCTTATCAAGTTCACTGGCTTATACACCAATCTCGAGCTGTTTTTTATGAATGCGGTAAATCAGTGTAAATGACGTCATTGACCAATCGGTTCTCAATGTGATGTAATAACAAAAGAATTGTGTGACGTAGGAAATGTACTGGATAGTGCACGAATTCGAAAGTCATATATTGGCCTCTATTATTTAAATGTTGTATTAAGAGATTTGAGAGTCATTTACACAACGTTAAAACTCATAAAAGTTATACACTGACATTATTTATAAAAAAAAAATCATCCATAATATTTCCCATTCTTAATTTGTTGTCTGTTTTTATTCGACTTATGATTTTGTTTGCCTATTTAGCATCTTTTCACTTTTTTTAAAAATGTACTTTAATTTCTGAATTTCGTATTTCTAACCTTCTATGATCATCCTTGTGTTTTCTGTTTTCGGGATCTCTCAATTACTAACTTCCAGTTTTTATTACAAATATAAAAAATTTGGAAATATGGTATAATTGCTCATGAGACAACTCTCCACCAGAGACCAAATGATTTGATAACGTATATTAAACTATAAAAAAATTAAAATGATAAACTGTAAAACAATTAAAACGAAAATAACCAATGGCCTGACTTAAAAGAAATTGTGAAAGAAAATGATAATGACATCCAGCAACTAACGATACCCACTGAAATACAGTCTTCTAACTAGAGACAGCCACATACAGAATGAAGAGGGTTTTAACATATTTGCAAGCGCTGAACTCTCCCCTAACCTGAACTATTGGCCTTATAAACTATCCAATTATAGGGTATATAAAAAATGATCACTTGAGAACAAAAAGGCATTGTAATCAAATATCCAATAAGTATCTCAGTAATGAATCTATGAAAATCTTCGATGTGAATTAAACATTCCTTCATGCTTAATCAATTGACAAATACCAAACATCTCATTTTATTTAAGTTCTATGGTTAATCATTAGTAACCAGTAATTGTATTTTCCTCTACAATGTTTTACATACATTCCTTTTGTTTAAAGAAAACAGTGCATTAATGGTACTTTAATTATTTTTCCAAAAAAAATAAATGATAAAAGGGTAATCAAAATAATACTCCTATAATATAACTAAAATACATGAGAAAAAGTTCTTATTTTTATCATTTATTATAATTTATTAATTTGTTGTGAAGTTATCTAATTCAGAAGACTCAAAATATCTTGAACCTTAAAATAGGTAATTTTTTGCAGGTCGGTCTATTATTTTCCCTGTTCTTAGCGAGTTTTCTTCAAAATGTTGAAGCAGATATCTTTAACAGTCATACAAATGCCACAGATCACAAAACAGACTGTTTTGAGAGGGGGATTGATACAATATGTTTCAAACAATTTCTACAACCAGCAGCACAGACGATGAATGATACAAGTTCCTCGAATTTCTTATCGGCATTATGGCGAAAAATAAACAGTGAGGCTAATGCAGCTGCTAAATCTCGACATAAAAGACAGGCTAGTGGTGTACCAGTCAGACGGGAAGTAAGAGCAGCTCCATACGAAACCAATTTCTTACGTTATGCACTAGCTGTACGGAGGTTAAAACATGATTTTGTAAGTGTTATTGTAGTTAGACAAGGAAATAGTTTTGAAGTTAGAAGGTAAAGGGTTCACACGAACCTAATATCATGTTTTATGCATATTGATTCTGTAAAAGATCAGCTGCTTGTCACAGTATGAACTTTATTTTTGGAGTGAGCAAACATTTTAAATATATTGCAGTTGATATTTGACACTCACAATATTATGACAATTTATTAATCTAATTTTTGGATTGCATTTGTGTTCCTTTTATGAAAGAAACAGAAGTTCACGGAAAAGGACTTGATAAGTTTGCGTCAAACGTATGTACATTGTTTCAAACGTTATGACGTCGGCGATAAGTCCTGGTCAAAGTTATCAAAATCGGGTCAACGTATTTGACATTATAAAACCACGATATGCAATTGTATATAAACAAAAATGAGCAGAGTGATTCAGACATGTACTGTGTAAATCAGTAAAGTCATGAACTTTTGAAGTATGGAAAATTAAACAAAACACATTCAAATATGTGGATTTGTATGTGCAAAACTTAATTTTTTCAACTTATGTAAAAATGTTAATACTGCAAGACTGAACATCCACATAGAAGAAAGAAAGCTTTATTTAAAACTCTAAAATTGTGTACACTTTCATTTCTATTTTAAAACGTGTTATACCTTTGATGCATTATTTAAGTGCTTTCAAGTTTCGTCTTTTCTGAAAAGAGACGCGAAAGATACCAAAGTGATCTTAAAACTCATAATTTGATAAAAGTTCTTAAGGATGTAGTCAGGTGAAATTTAAAAAAAAGGATTTAAAATTGATACTTCAAATAAGAAGAGCATAATTTAAGGAACAAAATAAGCTTAAAATATTGAAAGGTTATGGAACTCCTTTTTGAGATATTTGATTTTTTACAAATGACGGGAGAAGGCTGACTCTGACTTTCACCTTATATTTAACATTAACATTATCTGGGTTTCAAATCGTCAGAAAAGAAATCTTGAATCTATTTAAAATTTGGTAATGACCTTCTTATGAGCTATTGAAGTCTTCTATGAAATGAAAAGTGGGTGATATGGAGTAAAATATTTTACCATGTATTGTAGGAAAAAGCACAAAAGGTCCGAACATCTGACAAAAATTCCTAAACTGACCTAACTACATCCTTAAATAGTTATTATTTTGTCTAAATTATAAATACGAATTTACTACATGATAATAATGCTAGTAATACCCACCAAATTTGGGATTTTTTTAATGTGATCTGATAAAAGAAAGATCTTAACAGTGTTTTTATTATTGAAATTTACGTAAAAAGGGGGAAATAATACAGGAAAAGTTAATAATACTAACTGGTATTAGATTTTGTATTTTGTATTAATTGAAATTTGAGGAAAAGTAAAAAGTCAAATGAAGAAAAATCTTTCATAAAATTATATTTTTGGCGGTAAACTGAAATAAATTGTCAGCAAACATAACATTTAATCTTGATTCATTGATTTTTTTACAGTTGAGGTACATATTGTGAGATAGTATTTACCTCGTAGATTACAAATGTTGCAAAAATAATAATAAACGGTAAAAAGGTAAAAATATAGCAAAAACGTTTCAATATGGTACAAACACACATGCTATTCACAAATGATATAATGCTCAAGTTAATGGATATAGACGAAAGTTTCCAAACTTATTTATCAAAATTTGTAAATTTTCCAAATAGAAGAGATATTTTGCAGGTAAAAAGATGAAATCGAATTAACAAAAACTTTTATCAATTAAGTTTTTGCAGCTGGAAATTGGGCCCTAAATGACCTCCTCATTTAGAACAAACTGAGAGTCTTTAATTACAACCCTTGCTTTTTACTGCCAATGACTTATATTATTTCCATATGATACCAATACGTATCCGGTATCACTCCTGTCAGAGTTGATGCGATTGCCTCATCTTTTTCTGTTATCTTGATTTGTATCTTCTAAAGCGATTGTTGACTGAATTTAATAAGTGACTACAGCAAATAACCAATGTTCTACCAGGGGTTTGATCCGGAACCTTGGCACTGCTAACCATCTATCAAAGCTAATTGAGTATTCAGGTCAAATAAAGCTGTAAGACTTATACCCAAGCAGATTAATAACCGTATATTTTTTTTTGATATTTTAGGGAGTGCGTTCTGATATGAATACCTATGACATTATTGCAACCATTCATACAGGGAGTAACATGGAACACGACGGACCTGGTTTCTTATCTTGGCATAGAATTTACCTTTTGTTGTAAGTTTAAATACATAAAATAAGTCGTTATAGATATAGTGCTTTCAAAGCGCTTTTCCAAATTTTTCTTCAACAGGAACGCTTGACACAAAAAAAACAAAACATAAAAAGCCTTTAAGTATAAACACTTTAATAGCTATATGAACGGACGGGGAGTGAAATAGTAAAAACAACTTAGAGACACTTTGCGATGGTGTCAATTGATTTTCTTACTTACTATGCCTATCTTTATAAATTTATAAAGTAAAAAAACCAAAATAAACTAAACACTGTTGTACTGTTTAATTCCGGTTACAATACGGAAAAGGTCGAAGCACCCATAGTATCTACGCCCCTCTTTGAATAAGAAACATATCTAATTAATTAAGACAAAAATCAATGCATAATACTTACTTTGTTACATTCGTCTGATTATATAAGCCCGTTATTGGACACATATAACGGATCTGTTAGATTTATTAAACTCTATGCAACAGTAATTTACCGATATTCAAATCTCATAAATCCATTATTGTGTTCAATAAGGTCTGAATCATTTTTATCTTTTCCTTGATATTAACATACTTAAACGAATTCAAACTAGAATCTATGACAAATATGATGGTTTTAACCTTTCAATTGTCAGCTTCCCTTTTCTCAGTAGTAACATATCTCAGATGCCCTATATGGTGGAAACAAATCGTAGTTGATACGTTACGCTCGTGCATGTGCACACAATATACACTAACAGAGGTGTGCTCCTTACACAATTTGAAATCGACACTACAAAAGTTTTACGGTCACCATCACGACTTGGTTGACCGATACGATGTATTCACTAGTGACATGTTTATGCGGTTTTAGATCTTTAGATACCAGAATAGTCGTTTGATCTGTAATATCGATTGTGTCTAATTCTCGATTGTGACATGTTGACTGAGTGTGGATTCGCATGTATAGCAGGACAAGCTGAATCTGTCGACGCACTCGGTCTCGCTCCGTTTTGAGTTCAAGTGATTTCTTAAGGTATATTTTGTTATTTCAATTACCAGTAAATGTACCAGTCTAAATTTCATTCACGTTTATGTAAATACAGTTTTTCTAAGGAATAATATTTGAATTCCCTTTTATCTTTTACAGGTACGAAGCTGCATTACAATCAGTTTTTGGACGAGGAGTAACTGCTCCATACTGGGACTCATCGCTGGATATAGCCATGGGAAATAGACAATCGAGAACAATTTTGTTTTCAAACAAATATTTTGGGACTCCAGTGATAGATACGATTACAGGAGGTTTCTTTGCAAACTTACCTGGAAAGAATATTACTCGGGCTATCAATGGACGGGGAGGCCTAATTTCTAAAAATGCCATTGCTGCCGTTCTTTCAAGAACAAGTCATAGTCAGATTGTAAGGCAGAATCAAATCAGATATTGTTGGGAATGCTATCATGACATGGTACATCGATGGGTAGGCGGGATCATGGAAGCGGGGGTCAGTGCTGCCTTCGACCCAATATTCTGGTGTCATCATGCGTTTGTTGACTACATCTGGGAATTATTTAGGAGGCGAATAAGAAATGCCCCTGCAGATTATCCATTAGGTTATTCATTGCATCGTCCAGATGATCAAATGAATTTTAGCAATTACAGATATCGACCAAATCCGCCTATTACTAATCGAGAAGGTTACAGTAATAGATATGCCCGTCTAAGACGATATGCTTCGGCGCCATCATGTCAAAATCAGTGTTCCAATAGTCCAGATCTATTCTGTGACGAAACTAGAGACATATGTATCTCTCGAGAGGCGGCTGGAGTGGCTCAAGATAATTATCCTGGTGCAACAGCAGATGACATTGCTTCCGGTTTGGCAGATATTACAACAACTGTGATGGCGTTAAGGAAAGTTAAGCAAAACGTATTAAAAGATATTCCACCTGGTACGCCTCTTAATTTGTTTAGGGCTTGGCAATTCGATCCGAACACTCGTGGTCTTTCTACTTTTGATGTATAAAGATGCTGCGGAGTATATACTCAACGCGTGAGAAATATCGGGGGCATGGGCGAATTGAATAATGGTTATATTTCCATCATTCCCTGACTAAAATGATATATTGTTAATGTAATGTTGACGAAATAAAGTATTGTTTTAGTCCAAGGTAAATGTGTCTGCTTTTTATGACTTATTGGCTAACACGACAAATTCGAAAGTGGAGCAAGGACTTGTTCAGAAGCTGCTTAAAATATTTCAGTAGTAAACCTCTTGTTATAACGGTTTTTATTTTGTTTCAAATATATACACAGCCTCTTTGGTTACTTTAGTTTTTTATGAATTCTTCTTTGTGCATTGTAAATAGTAAAATAACAAAAATACCGAACTTCAAGGAAAATTTCAAACGGAAAGTCCCTTATCAAATGGCAAAATCAAATGCTCAAACACATCAAACAAATGGAAAACAACTGTCATGTTCCTGACTTGGTACATGCATCTTAAATTGAGCTTTTTTGTTTAGGTTGTGTGATAGCTTCAAGTCTGTTACAAGCTAATTTATGCAAATTCGTTCTTGTTTAGAATTTCTATATCTTTTTAGGGGGAAATGAGCGAGGAGAGTTTTTTCTTAATTAAGATCAGTGAAATCTCTGGATATGGAAAACTATTTGAAAAAAAATTACTATATCACAAGAGGAAAAATACATCATAGAATTGGTGAAGAAGTGCAGTTATGTCATTAATGTAATATAAGTTTTATATAGAAAAACAACAGTAGTTTAAGAAGACAATAATAGTACTAAACAAAAACTGAGCAAACCGCATGAATTCCATAAGGTGCGAGACCTGGGGATTCGATTTGATAAGCGTCTCCTGCTGTGTATGCATCCCACGCCAAGTCAATCAATTCTCAGTAAATGGATTACAGATCAGATGACTATTCTGGTATTATAAGACTGTGAAAGCATTTCGCTGAAGAGTTGAGACACAGACATATCGTATCGGTCAACAAATTCGTGATGATGACCGGTAAACTTATGTGGGTCGATGTCAGTTGTTCTTTCTCCTAACGCTGTTGAAGCAGTTTTTGTGTAAAAATTTTTGACATAACTGTATTGGAACAAAATTAACAACTGAAAATAGAATCTACTACAAAAAAAGACGATTTCAATTTTACCATTACGGTCTGGTGATTTTTAATAACTTTCGGATTCTGATATTTTGACCGAACGTTAATTAGATGGCGGTTGATAAATGCTAAGTAGGAGACGATTGCCCTGTAAACGCACCTGGTTTCGATCCTTTTGGAGTTCGTGCGATTCCGTCAGTTTTTCTTATCTTGATTTGTGGGAGTCAAAAGTATATGAATGAAGAGGTATAGTATACTATGTTGTATTTTTAGCGATTCTTGTTACTGCTTTTATGTATTACTAAAGATGTTGCATCTTTACTAAAGGAACTAAAAGATACTCATAAAAACAATCAATGACGAGACATTGTTGGAAGATTAAACAAGCTGTGAATAAATTTAATACAGATTACCAAATATCTGTCATAAATACTTAATTCTTTTAAGGAAGAAACTTCACACATATCAAAAACAACCACTAACGAGACACTGTATTTAGTAAGATATAGCGACATTCAAACTTATTATCAATGCAGAATATCCAATCTCATTTTACGGCATCGTGGTGTGTATATTTAAAAAAAAACATTTTGTTAATTATTCAATTAATGTTAAATTTCTACCATTTTGTTTTAATTCTATTTCAAAAACAAGCGCTGTAATGTCTAATTGTCACTCGTGTATACCCTTGTCATATGTAGGACACTTATCTATTGTTCGAATCATGTCTTTTTTCAGTAAAGATTCTGCACCAGGGGTGATACGAGGGAAGTTATGTCATATCTGGTTTCTCTAGAAAGTATAATCTGATTGGAGCTGTGTTCTATAGATTCAAAACATTTTTAGTAATTGTTTGTCTAATATGTCTATGGTCATATGCAAACGATGGTATTTATAACGTGTTGTTTTCGTTTTTTTTAAAAGACAAGAAAACAAACGTAATCTATTCTCAATCATTCTGCTTGCACACTGAAATGGGTTACCATGAAACGGATATACCATGAATAACTGAGGGTATGGTTACCTGTTCGATTTAGTTCCGATTTATTCTACCTACAGTGTTGATAATTTAAACTGTTTGCATTTCCGTAGATAAAATTATTACATTTTACTGTACTACACTGACAATGAATAATTAATGTCCACTCAGAATTTTTGGATTTACAAATGTCAACGGTTATCTTAAGTTATATCTTAATGTTTTGTTCTTTCTGGAATTGGGTGTTGGTTACAGATATAAGGTTATTTTCGTTCATTCCAATAAAAAAATTGTACATGAACATTAACAACAGTTTTCATTCAGGGTTAGATTAAAGTAACGTGTAAACAAAGTGTATTTTCGTTCTTATAAATCTACCTCAGACTCTAAATCTAGGTGACAGGATTTCATAAAACAACGGCATGGCTGAAATATAGGTATAATCAAGATGAGTGATTTGTTTATGTAATTTTTTAAAACTAAATGTATAAGAAATTGTCATAGTCGTCGAAAAATAATTGAGCATTCGTGGAGTTGTTAACTTACAGCATAAATTAGAGAAATAAAATATGATAGGAAATATTTTATGAACATAGCAAAATATGCATGTGATAACTTCCCTGTTTGAATTAAATATTATTCATACGTCAATTAGGTGAAATTAACTTCTCATTTAAATCTTTTGATATACTGAGATTTTTTCTATCGCCATTCCAAAGATGACCTTATCGATTTACAAAATTCTTACATCTATAAAATACTGTTGCCTATAATTAGACAGATTTGACACAGCACTTTGGAATTTTCGGGTTTCAAAGCTTCTCACCTTTCTTAATGATTTTGGTCATCTAACTCTTTTGATTCAAGCCACTGATGACATTTGTGTAGACTGGTGTAAAACATTAGAAATCTGGTATCTTAAAAGTCTTTTTAGTAGAGGTCGTGTGATAAGTGTTGGATGCAGATGACCTGAAAATTGTTGAATATCCGACATATTGGCATAATCAGGGTGGATGACATTTTGTGTTGCTAAAACAAACTAGAATGAATAATAAATGAGATTGATTGAGGGGATTTGGCATTTTTAGCTAGTGTTTCAAAATTTAAGCCCAGAACTCATGACATCGCCACAACCACGAAGAAGTAAATAAACTTTATTTGACATAGGAATTCTTGTTTTTGACACCAGTAACAATAGCCTTTTTAAAAACCATGAGTTAGGATTTTCAACATATATAAAAAATGGTAACAGGATAGGATCACACTGATATTGTAGAGATTAGTAGATTGAAAGATCCCTCCCCTCTCTCTCTCTCTCTCTCTCTCTCTCTCTCTCTCTCTCTCTCTCTCTCTCTCTCTCTCTCTCTCTCTCTCTCTCAGAACATCTAATAATGATAAGAACAGTATCTCCAACAAAGTGATAAATGTATGACCAATTTCTGCTATGAGATTGCATTAGTTTACTCAAATTCTCTTCCTTCATTGTTAAACTGTCAAATTAACATACCATAACATCACATAAACACTAAGCTATATTTCTAATTATATATTCTCATGTGCATTTATCCTGTCAATCAAAACCAGAATGATTGATTACAAAATGGATCATTTTATTTACTACTAAATGTATATTCAATCATATGTTTGTGTTAATCGTTCAGGGTTTTCCCTACCATCGGTTATATAACTCATACCAATAGATAATTAATAAGTATAACAAAGTTTTTCAAAAAATAAAGTACATATTCGATGGTGGCATTAGGATCCCGTTTTGTTTTTGGTACAGAACTAACAATATCCGAATGTATTATTATGATCTGTGCAATAAATGAAGTAGTGTACGCCATTAAAACATATAAGTTTTAATTTTAGTGTAAAAAGTTAAATCACAAAAATACTGAGCTCCGAGGAAAATTCAAAACGGAAAGTCCCTAATCAAATGGCAAAATCAGAAGCACAAACACATCAAACGAATGACAACAACTTTCATATTCCTGACTTGGTACAGGCATTTTCTTATGTAAAAAATGGTGGATTGAACCTTGTTTTATAGGGATAAACCTCGCACTTGTATGACAATCGCATACAATTCCATTATATTGACAACGATGCGTGAATAAAACAAACAGACATAAAAGGTTAAAATGTCAAAATAGGGGTACATCAGTCAACACCGTGTTACAATCTTAATCACAACAAAATCAAACAAATATTTAACAAAGAAGCACAAAAAAGCAAATATCATATTTAACAACCTCGTTCATTGCTTACTTATTTTTGTTTTTTATTTATGTATGCCAAATCAACCCATAAAGCACTGGGACCGAATCGTGATTTTAACATTAACTCTGGCGTAGAATCGCGTGTTTGACGTCAGAATGTAAACGTCACACAGGTAGAAATATAATATAATTTTGTCGTTCAAAGTATGCAAAAAATATAATTGAACAATAACACAATGGCGGGATGTTTAAAGTACAGAGACACGTCATATGTATCAAAGAAACATATAAAGTCACACGGACAAAGCACATAAGTAAAAATGAAAAATATTACAAACAAAACAATGACGGGATGCATAAGTACAGATCCACGTCAAATGTATAACACCAAAAACAGACCAAACAGTAAAAGTATAATTAATAAAGACAAATAAAAGAACACTTTAAGACCATCATGTATTATTTGTGAAGTTGATACGGAATATTTATCAACAAGGTCTTTGTACCTTCCGATGAACTTATTTAGAAAAAGGACGAGACGTTCTTTGACATACCCCTGGTTCATCAACTTTCTGCTCAGACACTGGTGACGTTTTACAAATTCTGAGTAGGAGCTGCAAGCTCTTGCATACCGAATAAGTTGGGAAATATATATCCCATATGCAGGTGAAGTTGGTATATTGCTACTAAGGTGAGGGAAATTGATAATTTTAAAATTAAGATCGTCTCGTTTGTCATAGAATCTGGTACTGAGATGACTGTGTATGTCAAATTCGAGGTATAAGTCTAAAAATGAGGCGGAGGAAGCCGTGTCTGTTGTTTCTTTAGTTTCTAGTTC